GGCGAAAGTCCAATTTACAGGGCGGATTATGAAATCTTTAACAGATGAGTTGGGGAATGTTAACCAGGGTTCTACGTAGAAACAAAGAGATAGTATTTTTCTGACATTATTGGAGGTTGCAGAAAAATAAAACAATTTCGTGTTTTTTTGTTTTCAAATCAGTTGGTAGGATTAACGAAACCCCCCTGTAAGTTGCCACCTAGAATTTTTCCTCTAAATCTAGGAGTAATGAGTTCGCACAGTTTTCTCGATGCAAAGTACAAGGAATCAAAAACACTATCACACTCCACATGCACGTATAACAATGCACAGCAGAGAAGCTTTTTGAGCTACTCACTTAGCACCTGGGAGATACTGAAACTGTCAAAAGATAATCATGATCTGAAGCTCCTCCACATGTGCCCTGGATATATGTGCCCTACTAAATTTCTGAAGTCCGTCCTGAGCAGTTTGTTACCTTCACTGACACAAATAGTAAACATGTTCGCTGTCGTCAGGAACATTTCATTATGGCCCCTAAAACAGCTAGTAATAAGACCTCTCCTAAAAAGAGCAGTCTGGATCCTGCGGCGGACTTCAAAATTATCGCCCCATATCGAATCTGCCATTATTGGAAACAATTTCTATTGAAAAAGTGGCCTCCAACAAAATTACTGAATTTTTAACAATGAATAATTCTTTTGATATGTTCCGCGTGGGTTAACGACCCCACCACAGCACTGAGACCGCTCTAGTGAAGGTACAAACGACATTCGACTTCCACACTGATGCAGGTAAAGTCACCAAGGTTTTGTCATGTTAGATCCTTAGTGACGCGTTCGACACTGTCGGACATGAGATCCTCATGCAGAGATGAGGACTGGGCTGGGGATGTCACTGGCACAGCCCTAGAACTGGTTTAGGTTTACCTGGGGATAGGAAAGTACTCTGTGGAGATTGGACGACTGCGTCCCAGAGATGTGCCCTGACCTGTGGGGTACCACAGGGGTCGTCCTGGACCTGCTCTATTTAATCTCTACATGCTGCCGTTTGGTCAGTTAATACAAAGAAACAAGTGTCCTACCACAATTACGCTGGACGACACTCAGATATATGTCGTCACTGACTGCAGGAGAACATGGACCACGGGATTTGCTACCTTCAGGCAGACTTGGAGATTCTTGTCCATGCATTTGTCTCCAGCAGGCTAGACTACTGATATGGCCTGCTTACAGGTCTGTCCAAACAGACCTGTAAGCAGCTGCAGTACATCCAAAATGCAGCAGCTAGAGTCCTGACAGGAACCAGGAAGTTATGACCATATTAGTCCGGTCCTCAGGTCTCTGCACTGGCTTCCTGTGGCTCAAAGAATAGATTTTAAAACGGCTCTGCTTGTGTACAAGTCTCTCCATGGCCTTGCACCAGAATACATTAGTGACATGTTGGTGTCATATGAACCGGCCCGGACTCTGAGGAGCACAGGGACTGGCCTCCTGCTGGTGCCCAGAGTGAGAACCAAACATGGGGAGGCTGCGTTTCAGATCCATGCAGCTAAGATCTGGAACAATCTCCCTGAAAAATGTGAGGGAGGCGTCTACTCTGTCAATGTTCAAATCCAGGTTAAAGACTGTTCTGTTTGCCTGTGCATATATAACTGAAGGATTTTATCTCCATTTTTAATGCACTGCTGTCATTTATTTATTTTTTTTAAATTTCTTGTGTAATTTTGAAAGTTTTAATGGTTTTATTCTTTTGTGTGATTTTAATGTTTTAATTGTGTTTTAATCTTTTGTGTGATTTTAATGTTTTAATTGTGATTCTGGTGTTTGTTTTATGTGATGATTTGTGATGTGGACTGTGAAGCGCTTTGTGTTGCCCTGTGTATGAAAGGCGCTCTACAAATAAACTTTGATTGATTGATTGATATTAATAAATGCACGTATTTATCAATTGAGGGGCTAGACTGCAAATGTAGGTCAACCACGCCCACCTGCGAACTAGTGAGTGTTGACGGGTGCGATCATGATGTTGTCACCCTGCGTGCCTTTACCGTGACTCGGAACCGTGGACAATAAACGTTGTAAACGGACTATTTTGTATTGTTCTGGTCATTTAAGAGTGCAACACGAATCTTGGTGTTTCTGCTCGGTTGGAGATCGCATGGGAACGACGCTGTTGTGGAAAAGAGCAGAGTTGGGAGTTTACGCTACAAGCCACCAGCTGCAGGCCAGATTTAACGATTTTCTCATAGACACAGACAGGGGAGTGTTGGTCGTCGCCACGGCAACAGGGTAAAAAATAATCATATGTTGTCATTGATACTTTTTGAATCCAGATGACAAAACAGAATTATGCGCAAAATTTCAAACATTTTGACAAAACTAAATTTTAAAAAGCCCATGTAAAACTTTATCATAGTCTGTAGGGGGCGCTAATGAGCCAATTTCAATATTTCCACTTTCAGATGACCTAGACCCTGGAGCTGAACAATGGATTAAAATTTGGTGCAAATCCGGCTTTGTTTGTGCAAACGGGAGCAAATTTACTTTTGTCAAAAATCCCCAAAAAAAAGTCACATTTTGCCGCTCCGCTGCTCGGACAACGTTTAACTGATCCAAATTCTATATTCAATAATAGATGGGACATGGGTTTAGACCATGTTGAGCGATTTTGAGACAAATCGGTGAAGCGGCCGAGGAGGAGATAATTTCCAGCCGACATGTGTGAAAAAGATCAATTTTCATTTTTCCATTTTCCAATTAAATTAATGAGCTTCCTGTTTGTCAGGGGGTGGAGCCATAATAACTTTTTTTTTCATGTCTTGACCTGAGGAACATGTGTACCAAATTTCGTGGCTCTACGACAAAGTTGACCTTCGACCCCCTCCCATAGGCGCAATGTAAACTGACTTTTGTAGGGGGCGCTGTTCTGGTATTTTTTTAGTCCCATAAAAATAATCACCAAAAAAATAAATTTTTCACCGGTTCTGAATTTTGGGCAAAATTTCACAACTTTTCATCAATGTTCAGGGGGTCAAATTAAGGCTCAAAGCGCAGAAGAAAAAAGAAAGAAAGAAAGAAATAAACCAAGGAATTTTTTTTGGGAAACTTTGAGCAAAAACAATATAGGTTTCCATAGTAACCTATAATACAAATGATACGTCGTTTTAAAGCGAACGACGAGGCGAACGCAACTATTGGGTTCTCTCCATCATGAGGTCACCCACCCCCCCCATAGGACCCCATTCATTACACTGTGTTCTACAGCAGGAGCAAAGCCATTCAGTGCCTCCGGCACTGTTTTGTCAGTGTCTGGGCACGCGCCGTCGGGCTTGGGGACGAATGTCCGGGCTTTGCCCGGACATTCGTCCATAAGACAGTTGAAGGAACCCCCCTTTAATAGGACTTCAATCATTTCACTGTGTACTAGAGCAGGAACAAAGCCATTCCGTGCCTCCGGCACGGATTTATCAGTGTCTGGGCACGTGCCGTCGCGTGCAGGTCACAATCTCCGGGCTGCGCCCGGAGATTGTGACTTATGACAGTTCAACGAGTAATGCCTGGGCTTCGCCCAGGCATTACTCGTTGGAAAAGCAATAGGCCCTTACCCCGGTTGGGGCTCGGGCCTAAATATAAACAGGAGCACATTACTCCAGTGTTTAAGTCACTCCCTGTTTGATTCTGCTTTGATTTCAAAGTTGCTTTATTGGTATTAAATGTCTTCATGGTCCTACAGTATCTCTCGTACATGTCAGAGTTTCTGCCTGGGTGTGGAACCCAGTAATAGCTTTGTGAATGGAGGAAGTAGCAATGGCTAATTCTTTGAAATAAGTAACATGCATTTCTAGAACCAGGAAGTCCTCTCACATTAGTCCTGTTCTCAGGTCTCTGCTTCCTCTGGCTTTAAATACTTTAAATCAGATCCGTTTGTTACAAGTCTCTCCATGGCCTCGTACCAAAGTACATCCAAGATATGATAGAGCACAGGGACTGGACTCCTGCTGGGACTCTGAGGAGCACAGGGACTGGCCTCCTGCTGGGACTCTGAGGAGCACAGGGACTGGCCTCCTGTTGGGACTCTGAGGAGCACAAGGACTGGCCTCCTGCTGGGACTCTGAGGAGCACAGGGACTGGCCTCCTGTTGGGACTCTGAGGAGCACAGGGACTGGCCTCCTGCTGGGACTCTGAGGAGCACAGGGACTGGCCTCCTGCTGGGACTCTGAGGAGCACAGGGACTGGCCTCCTGCTGGGACTCTGAGGAGCACAGGGACTGGCCTCCTGCTGTGACTCTGAGGAGCACAGGGACTGGCCTCCTGCTGGGACTCTGAGGAGCACAGGGACTGGCCTCCTGCTGGGACTCTGAGGAGCACAGGGACTGGCCTCCTGCTGGGACTCTGAGGAGCACAGGGACTGGCCTCCTGCTGTGACTCTGAGGAGCACAGGGACTGGCCTCCTGCTGTGACTCTGAGGAGCACAGGGACTGGCCTCCTGCTGGGACTCTGAGGAGCACAGGGACTGGCCTCCTGCTGGGACTCTGAGGAGCACAGGGACTGGACTCCTGCTGGGACTCTGAGGAGCACAGGGACTGGACTCCTGCTGGGACTCTGAGGAGCACAGGGACTGGCCTCCTGCTGGGACTCTGAGGAGCACAGGGACTGGACTCCTGTTGGGACTCTGAGGAGCACAGGGACTGGCCTCCTGCTGAGTTAGGACTAAACAGAGGGAGGCAGTTTTTTCAGATGTACGCAGCTAAAATCTGGAACAGTTTTCCCGAAAATGTGAGACAGGCTTCCTCTCTGACAATGTTCAAATCCAGGTTTCTATCTTGTTTTGTTTGTTCGCTTCACCCAACCCCCTTTTCAAAACTTGTGACATGTTTTTCATTTGATAACTGATATTTGTATCTTGTGTTGTGTAGGTTTTGAAATAGATAAATGAATAACTTTTAGTTTCCTTGTGTATGAATGTTGCTAAACCTCCTTTGTGACTTCCTGTTACTCCCAATGACAGTAAAAAAGGTTCTCATTTGCTCAAAATAAAAGAGAGACATTGGCAGAGCCCTGATCCCACCTCGTAATCGTCTCTGTCGTCGACACTCACAGGAAGTTCTGCAGAAAAGCAAATGTTAGTGACACATTCTCTGACATCCTCTTCCCTCACGCTGCTTCAACACTGACCTTTTGACATGTGGCCTTTGATCTTTCTACAGAATATCAACAGAACAGCCGCTAACAGGAGGACGAGGGCCGCCAGAGTCACACCCGCAAACAGCAGCGTGGATCCTGTCAGAGACACTTCATGAATCTGTTTTACACTGTGCTTTTCTGGACACTCAAAGAAGCTTCACATGTCGTTCATTCACTTATTCATTCAGTGAGCCACAGCTGCCCTGGGAGGCACAAAGCGAGGCAGGCAGTCTGTGCCATCGGCCCCTCCCACCACCACCAACAATTCACACACACCAGAATTATTCTGATATGGGGGAAGCGTCAGGCCTAAAGACACAACCATGGTTTGGCACTTTGCAACCCCACTGTGGTCCCTGATGTTCCCAGAGGTCTCCCATCACAGTATTAACCAGACCCTACCCTGCTTAGCTTCAAAGGTCTGACAGGATCTGGCTTTCAACTGCCATATTCAGTCGTCTGATAGTTTTAGAGGTAGGGTTTTATCAGCTGTCGTACTCCATCCAGACGCAAAATGACAGCGCCATCTACAGTCCGACCTCTTCAGGACGGACTCTGAGTGTGTGACAGTTAGACAGCCCCCTCGTCCCGGTTTACTGTCCTGGGGGAATTGAAGATTCTCCTCCGCCGACAACATGGTGATGTCATTATATATTTCTTCTAACCATACGAGACGGGAGCATCTTCACAGAAATCAGGGAAGAAAGTAAGTAAAACTCTCTTTGCAAGTGACTCTGTGTCTGCCGTTAGAGGACTGAGGGGAGAGCAATGGCAGCGCATGTGTATGAAGATAGAAGAAAACTATGAATCCTCCTAAAAAGTGAGTGCATCAAGTGTGTAAATAAATAAAACAGACTCTGAGAACTCTTGCCAATTGTTTCCCCAGGTCTTGTGCAATACCTCCTTTATGGAAACACTGGTATGGCTCTATTGCAGTGGTTCCCAAAGTGGGGGTCCCGACCCCCCGGGGGGTCGCGGGAACCCCTGGGGGGGGTCGCAAGATGATTTCCAAAAACAAAAACAAAAAAACAAAAACAAAATTAGCTAATTAATAGCCTTTAAATATTTATTTAGCATTTGATTTGATTCAAAATGACTACTTGTTAAATTGTGTTAGGAGAATATAAAATATTTAAATTACGTTTGTAATTTTGTCCAGTCATTGACAGCGTCAATCAAAATCAAGTTACGCAGCTTACGTCACGCAGCGACAAAGCGTGTCCAGCTGTTGTTTGCTAAAACTAAAGGTGTTTGGAGGCTTCAAACAAATAATACCTGCTTTAAAATGAAACGTGGTTAATATCCACAAGAGAAAAACCCGGAGGGAGAGAAAAGTCACATGTGAGGTCAGGCTGATGGTGCGAAGAGAGGGAGAGAGGGCAGAGGAGGGAGAGAGGGCAGCGGAGGGAGAGAGGGCAGCGGAGGGAGAGAGGGCAGAGGAGGGAGAGAGGGCAGAGGAGGGAGAGAGGGCAGCGGAGGGAGAGAGGGCAGAGGAGGGAGAGAGGGCAGCGGAGGGAGAGAGGGCAGCGGAGGGAGAGAGGGCAGCGGAGGGAGAGAGGGCAGCGGAGGGAGAGAGGGCAGCGGAGGGAGAGAGGGCAGAGGAGGGAGAGAGGGCAGAGGAGGGAGAGAGGGCAGCGGAGGGAGAGAGGGCAGCGGAGGGAGAGAGGGCAGCGGAGGGAGAGAGGGCAGCGGAGGGAGAGAGGGCAGAGGAGGGAGAGAGGGCAGAGGAGGGAGAGAGGGCAGCGGAGGGAGAGAGGGCAGCGGAGGGAGAGAAGGCAGGGGTAGAACAGCGCGGTAAAGAGGCCCGGCTTTTCGGAGTCAGTGGTAAAGAGGTCCGCACATTAAAAGCGGGTGGCTGCTTTATGCTGTTACTTACAGTAACTTTGGAAAAAGAAGCCGCGGGGATGAAGCGCATAAAGTAACAGCAGAAAGCGGCCGCCCGCTTTTTATTTGCGGACCTCTTTACCGCTGACTCCGAAAAGCCGGGCCACTTTACCGCGGTATGAGAACAGAGAGGGCGAGCCGCAAGAAATGCGCTCCACTTCTGCTAAGAAGGGAGCCCACCAAGCCCATCACTGTGTCACTACGTGAGTAAAAATACGCAAGCCTCCTTTTTTGGGCTGGACAGTGCAGCTCAGTAGTGGCGCGAGTCTCTGCGTTACTCCGTATCAAGGAAATACATGCTCATTGACGGGAAGGACTGTTGAGGTGGGGGGTCGCGGGGGAGCAGCGCATTTATGATGGGGGTCGCGGGCTAAAAACTTTGGGAACCCCTGCTCTATTGTATCAGTTTGTGTCTGTGTGTGTCTTGTTCTACTGTGAAGCTAGAGCCTGAATAAAGAAATGATGATGATATAACAAAGCCGAGGAGAAAAGTTTTAAGAAATGTCCCTCATTTGTTGGTAACTTAAATTGCATTTCCTTTCATATATCTGACCATGGACCACTGTTAGCTCCTACAGCCAGGACACTTTATATACAGTGACTTTGCATCCCATAATTCTCTACCTAAATTTTTCATATATAGATAGACACAACACATAGAAATACAGTACATAAAGTTTATCAAGTTACAGGGTTGTCAAAATACATTTCTCAAAAAATGCTAGCGTCTATACCGTTAACTCACCCTATTCTTTTCAAAGGTATAAAATAAAAATAGAAAACTACATGGTCTTTGGAATTTCCTGGGTTTTTGGACGTTAACTGGAGCAACAACAGCAGCCTCTAAAGACAGTACCTGGTTCTTTGTTCTGCTGATGCTCAGGAGTGGAACTGTGAGGATCCCTGGAGACACTTTGATCTTCTGCTGCGACTGTAGAGACGTCTCCAGAGCTGGGTTTCACAGAGACGGGAGGAGAACGTTCAGGTCTGAGAGTGAAAGTGGGATTTACAGCTGCGTCTGGATCTGGAAGAGTCATCAACACTTATGAATGAGTGAGTTTGGGAGTGTGTTGGAAAATGTATGAGTTTTCTATGAAACGTACTGTTTGTGACTTTGATACTGAATGTTTCGACTCCATCTTTTATCAGTGATCTCCTCAGAACACACTGGTATGTTCCAGAGTCTGCATCAGTCACTTTGGAGATGTTCACAGACATTATATTGGACTCCAATGTTCCCCTTCTGTCATAATGAATGCAGTACCTTTCTTCACACGCTGTATTTCCTGTCGTCCTCTCCACGGAACCCAGAGGTCTCGGCACCTCCACCGCCTCAAAAGAACTCAACACGTCCACCGGCATCATCATCAGCAGAGGATCCAGCACCAGCAGCAGCAGTGGCTGCCACAGCGTCATCAGCGCCTTCAGCATCAGCACCACCAGCAGCAGCAGTGGCTGCTGCATCATCTTCAGCAGCACCTTCCCCACCTACAGCTCCCGTGAAGCCCCCCCCCCATTGCTCCAGGCTACAGTCAGGCCTGCACTGGGGGCCTCTCAACCACATCCGTCTCCACCAAAGACTCCCTCATCACCTTCCATGGACCCGGTTTGGGTCCCCCCCGCCACATCCACTCCATCTAAGGAACATGAGGACGACCTTTCCCTGTGTTTTCCATCACTATTGGATTTACCGGAACACTCTGCAGGCATGATAAGATCGGCGATGAAGACTATTCCTCTCACACCCACTGTAGCCAGATCAAGGGTCCTATCTAACATTCATAACTTCTCCCCATACGTACCTCCAAAGCCACCTAGGGCGTCCAACTCAAATTCTCCCACAAAATCCACCCGTCCCTCAAATTCTAACTCGAATTCACCCGCAAAATCCACAGGTCCCTCCCCTAACCCCAAAACCATTCCAGCCCCACCCCACCCCCCCTTCGTTTCCCATCACCAAGAACCCCTCCACCTCCACTCCCCCCTCGTCTATCTCCCAACTCCTGCCCCTCCCCTAACACCCATCCACCTCCAACCCCCCCTCGTCCAACACCCAAGAACCACCCACCTCTCCATCCTCCTCCCTCCTCTCCCTAGGATGCACAGGGTCTCTGCTTCGCAGCCACTGGCAGTCTAGTTAGAGGAGAGACCCGGCTGGGGCCCTGTCATGAAGCCACCTGTGCCATTCCCTTAGTGATAACACAAAGAATACATTACAGAAAGACATCTGGAGTTAATCAGTCTAATCTGGAAAATCTAATTCTTGTTCCGTGTAAGAATCAGCCGACCACAACCGCTGATACTGAAACTTTGAAACTTGCTATGCTAAATGTCAGATCTCTTTCTAACAAGTCTTTTTTAATCAATAATTTTATTTGTTCTTATAATCTTGATCTTATGTTCATGGCTGAAACTTGGCTTGACCAAAATAATGGTCAGAAACCAGAAATGCAGTTTTAATAGAAGCATCACCACCAAATTTCAAATTTGAATCTGAAATACGGGAAAACAAAAAAGGAGGAGGCTTAGCTGCCATTTTTAGAGACCACTTTGTCTCCCATAGAATGTCTCTTGGGAAGTTTCCGTCTTTTGAATATGTGTCTTTTAAAATACAACAAAAACAATCTCCTCCAATACTCTTCATTGTCCTATACAAGCCACCGCAGTCATGTCACAGTTTTATTGATAATTTTACCGAGTTGCTTTCAGTTGTATGCACAGATTTTGATAGTTCGGTTATTACAGGTGATTTTAATATTCATGTGGATAATGTTGATGACAGAAATGCAAAAGAGCTGAGTTCTTTACTTGATACCTTTGGTCTCACTCAGCACGTGAGTGGCCCCACCCACAGCAGAGGGCACACTCTAGACCTGTTAGTTACAAAGGGGGTGAATATTTCAAATATAAGCGTGGTCGATGTTGCTCTTTCGGATCATTTCTGTGTTTTTTTTTGACATGTGTTTCACTAACAAACCACCAGTGGACTCTGCAACTGTTCGAAGAAGACACATAAATGAAAATACGAGTGAACTATTTATGGGAATGATAAACTTTGAAAATGCATCGTATTCTACTGTAGATGAACTGTTTAACTCTGTCACCTCTAGTGTTTTGAATGTTCTGGATACCGTTGCCCCTGTGAAGGTTAAAATAGTGAAAAATAAGCAGAAGGCGCCGTGGGCTAAAGCAGACTCGGTCAGGGCACAAAAGAGAAAGTGCCGGAGGGCCGAGCGGAAGTGGCGCAAGTCCAACCTCCAGGTTGATTACAAGATATTCAAAGATAAGTTGTGCGAGTTTAACCGGGTGCTACGTAGTACGAGAGAAAGGTATTTTTCTGAAATGATTGAAGGCTGCAGCAACAATCTGCGTGTTCTGTTTTCAACAGTTAATAGATTAACAAACCCCCCTGTTCAGATGCCATTAGAGCTAACTTCCAAACGTAAATGCAATGAGTTTGCACACTTTTTCAATGACAAGGTTCAAGGCATCAAAAACGCCATTGTCTCCAATCCACAGATAACCATCCAACAGCCAGAAAGGCTCTCTGAGCTAACTTACTTTGCACCTGTAGATGATAAAAATGTCCAAGAAATAATCTCCAGTTTGAGCTCCTCCACATGCAGCCTGGATGTACTACCCACTAGATTTCTGAAGTCTGTTCTGAGCAGTCTGTTACCTTCACTCACACAGATAGTAAACATGTCCCTTCATTCTGGAATATTCCCAAAGGCCCTGAAAACGGCAGTCATCAGGCCCCTGCTAAAAAAGAGCAGCCTGGATGCTACGGTACTTAACAACTATCGTCCCATCTCAAATATGCCATTTATGGGGAAAGTCCTTGAAAAAGTTGTCTACCTACAGCTTACTAGATTTCTTATAATTAACAACTCATTTGATATGTTTCAGTCCGGCTTTAGACCCCACCACAGCACTGAGACTGCTCTTGTCAAGGTTACAAACGATATCCGGCTGAACACTGACGCAGGCAAAGTCTCAATCTTAATCTTGTTAGATCTGAGTGCTGCCTTTGACACCGTCGACCATGAGATCCTCTTACAGAGACTAGAGGACTGGGTTGGAGTCGCTGGCACCGCCCTAAGTTGGTTTAGGTCTTACCTTGAAGACAGGAAGTACTTTGTGGAGATTGGAGACTGTGTCTCAGATCATATGGCCCTGACCTGTGGAGTCCCACAGGGGTCGATCCTGGGACCTCTTCTGTTCAATCTTTACATGCTGCCGTTAGGTCAGTTAATACGCAGAAACAAAGTGTCCTATCATAACTATGCAGACGACACTCAGATCTATGTCTCACTGACTGCAGGAGAACATGGACCAGTGGACTCACTCCTTCACTGTATCCAACAGATCAGTGAGTGGATGCAAAACAACTTCCTCCAGCTAAACGCAGACAAAACTGAAATGATTGTCTTTGGTCCCCAGAAACAAAGAGAGAGCGTCATCTGTCACCTACAGTTTCTCTCCCTAAAACCTTCAAACAAGGTCAGAAATCTAGGGGTAATACTGGACTCAGACTTAAATTTTAATAGCCACATCAAATCAGTAACATCAGCAGCTTTTTACCATCTAAAAAACATTGCCAGGATCAAAAACATAGTGTCTAAAGCAGACTTGGAGATTCTTATCCATGCATTTGTCTCCAGTAGGTTAGACTACTGCAATGGCTGCTCACAGGTCTGTCCAAACAGGCTGTAAAACAGCTGCAGTACATTCAAAATGCAGCAGCTCGAGTCCTGACTAGAACCAGGAAGTACGACCACATTAGTCCGGTCCTCAGGTCCCTGCACTGGCTTCCTGTGGCTCAGAGAATAGACTTTAAAACAGCTCTGCTTGTGTACAAATCTCTCCATGGCCTCGCACCAAACTATATTAGTGACATGTTAGTCCCATATGAACCAGCCCGGACTCTGAGGAGCACAGGGACTGGACTCCTGTTAGTGCCCAGAGTCAGGACTAAACATGGGGAGGCTGCTTTTCAGATTCATGCTGCTAAAATCTGGAACAGTCTTCCTGAAGATGTGAGACAGGCCTCCTCTCTGACAATGTTTAAAACCAGGTTAAAGACAGTTCTGTTTAGCTGTGCATACAACTGAGGGATTTTATATTTTTATCTTTTTTTTTTTTTTTTTAATGTACTGTGATTATTTATGATTTTAATGCTTTCTTGTTTTGTTCAGCACTTTGAATTGCCTTGTGTATGAATTGTGCTATACAAATAAACTTGCCTTGCCTTGCCTACTTCCTGGTTCTAGTCAGGACTAATGTGGTCGTACTTCCTGGTTCTAGTCAGGACTCGAGCTGCAGCATTTTGGATGTACTGCAGCTGTTTTACCGCTTGTTTAGAGAGACCTGTGAGCAGGCCATTGCAGTAGTCCAATCGACTGGAGACGAATGCGTAGATAAGAATCTCCAAGTCTGCTTTAGACACTATGTTTTTGATTTTAGCAATGTTTCTTATGTGGAAGTAAGCTGATGATGTCACAGATGATATGTGGCTATTGAAATTTAAGTCTGAGTCCAGTATTACTCCTAGATTTCTGACCTGAGTTGAGGGTTTTAGGGAGAGAGACTGGAGGTGGCATATAACGCTCTCTCTTTGTTTTTGAGGTCCGAAAACAATCATTTCAGTTTTTTCTGTGTTTAGCTGGAGAAAGTTATTTTTCATCCAATCACTGATTTGTTGGACATGTACCTGTGCTCCTCTCTTTAAAGGTAAAATGTTTTAGTCAGTACCAGTCTTTTGTTCAGGCATTTAAATTCCAAATATTCACAACAAAAATTCTCAATGTAAAATTTAGAAGATATTTCAAAACATGTGACTTAAAGCTGCACTAACTGACTTTATTTTTGTATTCATTACGAAAATGCTATCCATGTCCATGCAGTGCATTGGGATATACATCATTTTGAAGAAAAAGTAGCGCAGATTTGTGCTGGCGTGACATTATATTTTAGATCGAGTTTTGATGAAACAAGGAAGAGAATGTGTTTCGGGTCGCGGAT